CTCTGTTGACTCGAATGCAATGCTGTTCAAATCTCTATTTTTCCCTTGATTGTAGAAATTGCAATTATATGTACGCTCATTCGAGAAGTTCATCGACTCATCAGGTATGCTTTGATAGTCTTTTTGCAACGTCTTCCTATCTTCATCTAAACAAATAAAGATTTCGGGTAACATTTGAATTAAAAATAGGTCACGCTATGGAAATTGATGCAATGGATATAAAAGTACCTGTTGGAGCAGATTCACAAACACAAACAGTACTCGACCATTGAGGAAACTCGTTCTTCGACGTTTCCAATAAAGAGATGTCATCGAATATCGGTTTATCACCGGTCCGCTTTCATGACTTTCGACACGAAGCCATCATCCATCCCTTTCGTTTCGGTCTCTGTGCGTATCTTCGAATCGTCATCGACATTCATGCCTATGTCTGTAATAGAGGAATTGCCATTAAATCAAGATTTTGCAAATCCTTGAGCTACAATATCAGATAGGTAAATTTTTCCGTGCCTCGATTGTCGCCGTCTGTATTTTGAAATCCGACAGCGTCTGCTTGATCGATGCAGCAGGACTGTAAAACTTCTGCTTCCGGAGTCTATTCAACGAAATATCCGTATGAGACTGGGAAGCCATTAAAGCTGCGGGTACTTTATTTATATCTAGAGCAAAAAAGGGTCCGAAAGGAAGAGTTCGTAGGAGACAATCCGTAAGGTGGGAACAGGATAATAAGCGCCAACTGAAAGAAATAATTAATGAAGTAAAGTCTCGTTACGTCGATGAATAGCACTTCAAACTCGAAACAGACTTGTATTCTTTACGTCGCCACTCCACTCTCCGACGTCTTTAACAGATTAATATTTCTGCAGAGTATTCTCATCAATAAATTTTTCTAAGAACATCATCAGGTAATCGTCAGGATTCTCAACAGGGGTTTCTCTTGTGCTCCGTATGTTTGTATCAAGCGTTGACTTCCTGCGAGTTATCAGCTTTTGATAGTTCACAGCATCCGAGTAAAAAGGATAGAGTCCGCAAGCATCGAATCCTCTACGTAGAATATCGGAGGTTTTTAGCGTATCGAGAGCTTTTACGAGTAGAGGTGCGAAATTTTCCTTTCTCATTAGACTACCGTTATGATCCATCCTCCATCCTGTTGTCGCTTTATGCCAGGCACCTTTCGCTGGTCGAAAAAAAGCAACATCATTTGGTTGAATCAGATGAGTTGCATTGGGGTACAATGCCACTAGTATAATCTTGTAAATGCGGCAAAATTCACTCAGTGCCATGGTAAAATGTGACGAGTGTCCGTGGATATGCAGCACAATGGGATACACGATATTATACGCGACCAACCACGGATAAAATACATTCGTAATGTATTCAAAAAAGCTTTCGCCAGTCATCCATCCAGACTCGGTTTTCCTTGCGCTCCACATATCGAGGATACTTGTGGAGATACTGGCAGGGATCCTCTCATATGTGAAAAGTATCATCGGTGGTGCTATTATGCCAGCAGCGTTGGCCATAAACAGAACGGTTAAACACACTTTTTCGTTGTTATGAATGAAGTTGTACACAACCTTGTCCCTTTTTCTAACCAAAACTTTTTCTCTTTTCGGACTGAGAAAAAACGCTGATTCGTCACAATTGAATATTCTTGTCGCATCGAGATCGGCCACATTTTCTTTATGTAAGTGCCTCTTCACTTCTTCAAACCAGTTTCGTAAAGCATTTTCGGTAACTGAGGCTCGTGAGTATGACACATTTTGTGCAATCTTATAAGATAACTCTGGATGACGTTTGAGAAATCCCTCATACCAACTGCGGCCTGGGCAATTATTCGTGAAGGGATTGTCACGTTTCAGCTCCTTAATAAGATCCGTTATACTGCTTATGAGCGTGCTCTTCATCATAGGAAAGCCACACACACTCATGTATATGATTCACTTAAGAAGTTGTTGCTCTTCTTCATCGGATAGCACTGTCGCTGGTCCTCCTTTTTCAATTACTGGATCGGAATCTGTCAGTTTGTCGAAGAGGGTAGTCTTTGAGATGCCGAACTCCATACTGACAACTTGAAGCCCTCGTCCAGTCCTCAGAGCAGCTACAGCTGCCTTCAATGTTTCCTCGGTGTACCTCTTTCGCTTTGGTTCCTTCTTACTTTTTGCCATTTCTATTCAACTGTTGTGCTGGGAGTCTCCTGACCCCATTGAGAAACGCCAGGCCAAGTAGTTCACGTGTGTAGCAATGCGCTAAGTCAGAACTAAAGGCGGCCTGGCAACTGAGATGTGGAAATCCAAAAATCGCACAATAATCACTTTTCGGAAGTCCAGCTTATGGCTGCACATCCGAAAATCGACAGTCTACAGTTAAAATCCGAACGGATAAGGTGGTCTCGTGGAGTAGACTCGGTACAGGAAATAGGAGGACCGAACGGTGCCTATATTTTTCCAAGTCGACGTACGTCGAAATACTGTACAACACACTTGATTGTTTCAATAATCCTTCTCAGTTTTGTTGTATTCACGCGAGTCCCAACTCCTTAACCGGCAATGATCCCAAAATTACCTTGGCCCTAACCTTTCGAACGAACTCCTTCGTCACCGAGACGTTACGGAACAACACAACAGATAAAAAATACTTTGCAATTAGTTTTTATCATTATTATTATTATTATTAGTATTATTAATATTATTAATATTATTGTTATTATATAAATTGTGAAGTGGTGGATTTCACCCGTCTTGTCCTCGGCGGAAAATCACGCCGAAACGCGATACGGGCCTAAAAGGCCATTGCAAAGTCCAGGCAGGATCCACCGACCGCAAGGGCCTAATTGAAATTTCGATAAATTATTTTATTATTTTCTTTTGTTCTGCGTGTACTCTGCCGGAGTTCGAATAGGTGCTCGCTCGCCGTGCCCGTGAAGACGCGGAGAGAGAGGGAGAGCCAGCCAGGCAGGCGGAAAATCACGCCGAAACGCGATACGGGCCTAAAAGGCCATTGCAAAGTCCAGGCAGGATCCACCGACCGCAAGGGCCTAATTGAAATTTCGATAAATTATTTTATTATTTTCTTTTGTTCTGCGTGTACTCTGCCGGAGTTCGAATAGGTGCTCGCTCGCCGTGCCCGTGAAGACGCGGAGAGAGAGGGAGAGCCAGCTGGAGTCCCAGGAGGAAGGGAGCTGCGACACGCGAGGGTCGACACTCGCGCTATCTACGGAGAGCAGCTCTACTGGCCCAGGAGGCGCGCGCAACGCGGGACAGCTTGACGTCACGCGGCAGCAACACGCTCTACTCCGCTGATACTCAACCACGACGACTGGAAGCGGCGCACACAGCGCTACACGACTGAGCACCACTACCGACCCCTATGGCATATTGCCCATCGTCAGTTTGCGCATAACTATATTTCCGCGAGTTGGGAATCCAGGGACGCCTGGTGCACCCTCGCGCGAGAACGAATGTTACTCTTCTTAGGACCGAGATGTGTAAATTTTCCACGAGAGATTATGGAGAGTATTAATTGTCGCGATGACATATTCGAAACTGGAGCGTGGCGAAGACTTTGGGTTGAAGGATTCGTCCGCAGGGCGAATCGCCGCCCATTAGCCTAAAGGGAGGGGGTGCTATCCTTTACGCAAGGACAAAGCGCGTGAAGATAAAGAGATTCCTGCTTGGACACGCGACGACGTTAGACGTTTGATTTGAATTGTGAGTACGCGAGTGCACAAAGTGCCATTGGGCTGTCGATCTGGTTTTCTGGGATTACGCGACCAGGGAACAACACGGTAAGCGAGGAAATCTGACGTTTTGTGAGCGACGTAACTTCGTGCGAATCGTGGTACCGGAATTTGTTTTTTTTCGTATGTTTTGACTGCGCGTGTAACGAACACGCGGAGGGACAATCCCTCACCTCGAATAAGATCACGGCACGAAGTTCCGTCGACCGGCAGGGTTCACGGTTTAGAACTTTGGTTTGATATTATTTTTTTTGGATCAGAATTTTGTACGTTATCCGAATTGTTTCTTGTCGTCCGCCCGTTAGGCATTTATAACTTTTGATTTTGTAACGCGTAGAACGCGTACAGGTCCTTGACGGTGGGGTATCGTATTGTGGTAAACGCGGATTAGCCGTGTTACGATTGTGGCTTTGAATTCGTACGGTACGCGAAGTACCCGTTACTATCGTTTGATTGTATTTTAGTTTTGTCTTTTCGATCTATCTTAATTATTATTTCTTTTGTAAATAATTACGTCGGTATTGTACAAAATCGTCGCACTTCGCGCCGCCGATTTTATCTAATAAACCGAACAATTTAATTGTAGATCGAAGTATCCGGATCATTTTGTGTGTCGCGTGATCGTCTGACCCATCCGACTTATTGTTCCGAATCTCGCCGCCTTCGCATAGCTGTGTTAGCCAACGTAGGCACGCGAAGACGAACTGTAAAACTGATACGTGGTTCCCGTTTGGAACCTGGCGCCCAACAATACCTTAGGTATTTCGTAAGAAAAATTTGTTAACCCCTGGGTTGCCTGGAACGCGTAGAAATCGCGTAAAGTTATGCGCCGGTCGGTCTTGCATTTTCCGGTGAGGTTGATCGCGTAAAAATACGTCACAAAATATACATTTTATTTTAATACAGCCAGTCACAAGAATAAATTGATAATCCTGCCTCATGTCTCTATGAAGGAGAATAAGTTGTCGCCATGTATGCAAACACTGAATAAATTCATAAATCGCTGAGTGCTAAGTAACTCTAGATAATTAAATAAGGAAACAATTATTACTATGTTTTAAGATTTTGTAATAGCAGACACTGAGCTAACTTTTTCATAGCTAGCATAGACAGGCATCGGGACAAGCGAGCGTTTGCTGCACCTATTCTCGGAACATCGAATTATAAAACGAAAATCATGACACCCGACTAATTTTTTCATCTCTGTCGATAAATTAGATCGTAAGAAATCGTTTAGTGTGCAAAATTTGTTGTAGACAGATTCTACAACAAAATACGGACATTTAAAGTGGTCGACGTTTCTTAACCTCACGTTTAAGAATAGACTCGGATCAAGGCGTGCTATCGAAAATGGGAAAAAACAGGCTTAATTAATGTACTTACCATTCACGTTGTAATCTTTATGCACATAACTTTCACTTCACTTCTTTAATTTAACAATAACCGCGTATTTTGTAATAGGTGTCTGCATAATTAATAATTCGAGACAGTGTTCGGTAGAGGGGGCGCGGTCGCCAATAACGACATCTACCTTATTTTCTAGTTTAGTATCTTTTTGTTTCTTTTCTTTTCTTCTTTGTTATTTTATGGTGATATACCACACAGTGTTGATACAACACTTGTCGTATTAATTATATTCTTTCCTACTCTAACCCGTGTCCCCATTTCTTTTCGAGATCTTCCCATATTCGCGATAGCTGCTTTCGAGAAACCCTGAGTACAACTGATTTACCCAGTACGTCACAATTTATATAAAAAATTAATACTGTGGAGGGACTATGAATTTGAACAATCGTGAAGTTGACAGAATAATGTCCCTGAAGGGTCGGAGACTATAAAAAACGAATAAGATATTACGATTTTTTTAATCTAGCCTATTTGAATACATATATTGATTAAAGTTTATTGTTTCCTCATGAAGTAAGATTATATTTACCATTTAAAATTTATAGTAAATCATATCAATTACATCAAACTTATGTTTACTTTAAAAAATTATACAATACATTTTTCGTAGTGGACAAAGCCAGCGTAGAAAATTGTTCAGAGATTTAAAGTACACAGAAGTTGTTGACCAGTTTTGATGATGAGAGATTTTACGTGATTCGCATGGACGATGGGGCTGCATATTCCGATGTAACGTTGGTATGCTATTTGACATTCCTTTGGAAGAATGAGGCGGAGGACTGTCAGTGGCATATTTTCTGCCAAATAGGTAAGTATTTCTGTTAAACGAAAAAATTTAGAAATTAATAAATAGTGTACGGAATAAAGCTTCAAGAAAAATCAACAGACTTAATTGTACAAAGTATAGCATGAACGTATTTGTTCCATTCCTACAATGGTAGCAATAGCCCATCCACGAGTAAATTATATTTTTAGGGGCCCACCTTCATATAATTTTCATAGTACATAGGTCCCCTAGATATACCCCCCCCCCCCCAGATATAATTGTATTTTCAAAATTTTTACCATAACGCTTTCGCTAATCTTTTACATTACCACTGCTTTCCGTATTTAATTATGATTATATCTCATGCTTCGTTCTCGAGATCACTATTGAGACGTTTCGTGATTTTGGAGACTTAGGAACAACGAGACTTTTTATAGGGTTTGTCCACTAGGCAGGCGTCTTTTGCAGGAATTAGACACTTTAATTTTAAAATAAAACAATTGTGCTATATTGTCCTATAGATTACACTCTAAGATGCCCTTAATATTTTATCCCACTTTCTCACACACATACGCACTCCTATAATTGTTTCCAGTTCTATTATCATATCATAGGCGACAAGAAGTGTTTTTGTTTACTTATTCGCTTTTCTAATCTCTCGGAATGGAAGAAGATTGCTGGTCCGATGATCAGTTGAGGATGAGGACGATAATAATTCAATACCCACAGATGATCACAATAATCTCCGTCCGCTGAGCCGATTATCTATAGGAGCGGGGACGAGAGGGCTGTCGCCACAGAACAGCAGAGTGCAGTATGCGTCCGAAGACTGTGCTGCAGCTGGAGGTATGGATAGCAACAATTCAGAACCCACCGGTGATCACAATGATCCCCGTTCGCTGAACCAATCACCGTAGGAAAGAGAGAGCTGGTATCACAATACAGCAGAGTGCACAATGCGCCCGGAGACTGTGGTACAGCCAGCAATAGGGCTAGCAATGATTCAGAACCCACAGGTGATCACAATGACCCCCGTTCGCTGAACCTATTGCCTTAAGAAGGTTTTAGTGAATCCTCGTTCGCTGAACCAATCACCGTAGGAAAGAGAGAGCTGGTATCACAATACAGCAGAGTGCACAATGCGCCCGGAGACTGTGGTACAGCCAGCAATAGGGCTAGCAATGATTCAGAACCCACAGGTGATCACAATGACCCCCGTTCGCTGAACCTATTGCCTTAAGAAGGTTTTAGTGAATCCTCGTTCGCTGAACCAATCACCGTAGGAAAGAGAGAGCTGGTATCACAATACAGCAGAGTGCACAATGCGCCCGGAGACTGTGGTACAGCCAGCAATAGGGCTAGTAATGATTCAGAACCCACAGGTGATCACAATGACCCCCGTTCGCTGAACCTATTGCCTTAAGAAGGTTTTAGTGAAATGGATTCTGGATTATTCCTGAGAGCGCCGGTACACTGACTTTGCTGCAGGAAATCTATAAGTAATGCAGGTTTCTTAATAATTATATTTTCTACAATTTTTACTCCTCCTTGTCGTCTTTTAGTGTACACGAGTCTAGTGGGAGTCGTATCCTAAAACGGAGTCGAGTACAGAGAGTGCTATCCTATCGAGGAAGCCGCTGCTTATATCTTCGATAGGAATACGTTAATTCTAGTGGGGATAACGATTTTTATCCTCCCGAGGCGTAAACGTCGCTTTTTGGATTCAATGTTTTGATTTATTGATCGATTTGGCAATTTAATTCAAATAATTGGATTAGCGGTTTCTTGAACTATCGGCTTACTGGTATTTCTTTTGTGTTTGGCTTATAGTGTTTAGGCACTTGTTTGTTTTGATTTCAGTCGACCGACTGGAATTCTGATTCATAGAATATTAAAAGTAATCGACTAATGTTATTTCTTCCTGGCTGCGGTTATGACTAATCTCAAGGGAATTATATAACATTATGAATTTAAAAGTCCTATTTTCCCTTTTCCTTTATCGATGTAGCTTTGAGAGGTCGATAGGAATTTTGAGGAGTTCTAGGATATGAAGAGTTCTCTCAGATAATATTATGCGTATCCACAGTGCGCTATGCACTCTTATGTGGGGTTCTTGATGTATCCATCATTGAGAATGGATGATTGGGAAGGAAAAAGGATAGAGGATAGGGGGGTATAAGGACGCAACATTACATCGCCCCTCCCTATAGGAATAGGACGTTTGCAAACTTTGAAACGGATGATTCCGTTATATTATTTCGCTTGTTTCAAGCTGATAAATTGGTGAAGTTAATTTTTCTTGCGCTATTTGGTGAATGTAGGCAAGTTTTCTTCTCGTTGAGCATGTTGAGGTTAATGATGGTTTTCTTGAGGTTGTTCCTCTTGTTTGTTTATCTTGACTTATTAGGGTTACAGGGGCCGATTCTTTGATGTGGAGTTACTTGATTTCCTTGAGGTAGGACATGATTAGCTCCTTCATGATGTTGAGCTTGTTCTTTTGCATCTTTGGGTTTTTCCCTAGTGCTTCTTCCGTTCAGGCACGTACCAGCGTCCCCGTCCTTCTTCGCCATTTCCGCCAGTGTGGTGATGTTCGGGTTTTATGTTGAATTACTGGATGATGCTACTCCACAGCATTTTTATTATCTCAGCATTCCTTTTGTTTCCCTATAATCCGCCTATTTCCTGGGTTGGGTTTGGTTCCGAGAGGATCATGGTAGATATTTTGCAGGCTATGCTGGTGCGTCTTCTACTGACCAGTCCCTATATCTGTTGACCTCCCTGTGTTTAATTAAGAGCCGTTTGGGTTTCTCTCATCACTTTTTGGAGGCCCATGAGTGTTGGCTTCTATGTGTCTTCCCGTGGTTTGAGCTCGGATTCTTGTGGAGTTTCCTCTTTCCTCTTTTGGTGCACTTCAGGTTCCTGGGGAGACAATTTCTTTGTTCGGATGATCTTCTTTTCCCTTTTTGTCGTGACCTTGTTTATTCATACCTCTTTCTGAATGCTAGATTTCTCGGCTACAACGTTTTGCTAAGGAATTTTTCTTGATGATCCAGTTAGCTTTATTTGTGTGTTGTCTTCGTTTGTTATTGGGTGGCTGTGCTTATACACAATTCCTTTTGGATTCCATTTTGCGCTGTTTCTTATCTGTTTATGAAGTTGCGCGGTCGGTGTTCTCTTTCCGGAGGCCGAGGTCCACGCTTGTTGTATTTGCTTGTTGATGGCCTCAAATTATTGGAGTCTTCACTTCTTCTAGGTTGTTCTCCCGTCTTTGGTGAAGATCGCTGATTGTGATTCCCATCTGTTTTTAGGTATCGATTTTGACATTCTCTTTTTGAGTTCACAGGCCCGATCTTATCGAAGCGTTGCAGGAGGTCCAGAATGTCATCCATAGTTTTGATTCCTCTTGCTACGATGGCGGATTGGATGTTCTCGTCGAAGTGGCGAGCCATTTTGGTTATTATCTGCGGTTCCGGGATTCGTGGTTCTACCGTTTCCGTACGCTAGATGTCACCACAACTTTCAGCTAAAATAAAATAAGGTTGGTAATCCTGGCGACGCCGTCGTCCCGCTTCATAACGTTTTTTGTGCGCTTTGATATCACACGTATTCTAAGTCAGTCCAGTAAAAAAGTATTCTTTTGAAAGGTTTTAATCCAAAAAAAGTGAATCCGCCAAAAAACACTTACGTGTAAAAAACTACGCTAAGTACAGGAGTGCTGTGAATTCCTCTAATAAAAAGTATTGAAATTATATTGTTGAGGCCAAGTACATAAGTCAGTACATGTTTACTTATTATGTGATCTAGCACTGGCCCATCATTTTAATTGTATTTTCAAAATTTCCTAAAACGTTTTCACTACTCTTTTACATTACTGCTGCCTCCCGTAGTTGATTATGATTTAATGCTCATTTAATAAATTATAAAACTTTAGGTGATTCCATATCGAGTACTACTTGGCGGAACCGTGCATTTCTTGATATAAATTTACGTTCATTATGTCAGTCATCAAACTCAAATCCAGTGTCAACTTTCTATATAGAGCATATTAACAATAACACGTCAAAAATAATTACGATAAAAGCTTAATAACAAACATATACTATTAGAATACTAATAGTACGTTCAAAGTAAGTACTTTGGAATTCCTAGCACCGACTCGCCAAGTAGTACTCGATAAGGAATCACCTAAAGTTTTAATAATTATTAAATGACCATTAAATCATAATCAACTACGAGAAGCAGTAGTAATGTAACAGAGCAGCGAAAACGTTATAGGAAATTTTGAAAATACAATTAAAATGATGGGCCAGTGCTAGATCACATAATAAACAAACATAATAAACAAACATGACCTATATACTTGGCCTCAATAATATCATTTCAATACTTTTCATTAGAGGAGTTCATAGCACTCCTGTATTTGGCGTAATTTTTCACACGGAAGTGTTTTTTGGGGGATATCACACGTTTTTATTGCTTAACGGGATATAGAAGATCTAAGCTCTGAAATCTATACTTTCACACATATAAAATATAAATGCATTGTGATGTCGCTAATCAAAAAAGTATATTGCTTTGTCGAAAATGTTAAATGGCATATAAATTTAATTTGTAACTCCATTTTCTTAGAAATGCATAAAAATATATACAAATTTAAAAAAAAATGTAATCTTCAATGCATATAAGCGTCGTTAACAGTGTCCAGTTTATTGAAGCGGTGTGGTGAACGTAAGAGAGGAAAGTTTGCTGGATTATTTACATACCTTAGGCCGTGCGAACAATAGAGAGGATACTATGGTTTGAGCAAAACGTCAAAGCGTCGCTCGTTGCACACTTTTCTGGACACTCTGGACTTTCACGTCCGAACGTAAATGCAGGAAACTATGGAGAGAAACACCTAGATTCCCTGAACTTCCACTCCGGACACCTAGATACAGGAAACTACGGAGCGGAATACCTGAACACCCTGGCATTCCACGAACAAACCTTACAATTGAACTCATCTTCACTAGAAGTAACTTCTTCGTCGTGTTCCATGCTTATTAGGCTCAGTAGCTGTGAGAGAAATATTCTGATCGCCAAGAAAGTTGACTTCGAACTAACGTCGAAAGCAGAGTCCAATCCGCGATCGCCAGTGTTTTGGAGATAAGACAACTTTGTAGCCATTCTAAAATACAATGTGTTACTCGACACCACATACGATGATCCACAAAAGGCCAGGAGTAGACTCCTTCCTTCCTTCCTTTCCTTATGGCTGTATCCCCAATGGGGGACATGTGCCAGTAACTGGTCCTAATAATCAAGGTTGGAAGTTCGACACTAGATGGCGATGTACCTTGCGAGATGGGCCTTATTCAACTCTGCGTGAGGGACCTACAAAGTTTATACACCGAATCCGAACAGTGTTGGGCGAAATCCGTATAAATACTCACTTAAGTTTTCATATGAAAACCCATTGGTGAATGCCGCTGGAAGCTGGGCGCGAACCTCCAACCTTTCGGTCGTGAATCCGCTACCCTATCCACTGGGCTACGGCCGCCCCTAGGAGTAGACTCGTGAAGCGATATTTGTTAGGCCAAACCTAAATAAACACCGTTATGGCTCAATAAAACAAATCGACGTTGAGTGATAACATAAACAACAGATTTCTTAGAAATAGCATAGGGCTATTGATCTTTAAAGGACAAGGATCTCTAGGTCTTTGTGACTAGTGATCAGTCTCTTGTAGAGAGTGAAACAGTTCCGCGTCGATCCGAATTGGGCCCGAGAAGCACCGCTCGAGCTGTCGCATCACATGCAGCGGTGCCTGAGAGGCACCGCTCTTTGATTGTGTTGTGTATTCGTAAATTACCAACACCATCCAAAAGTATAAATAGGTAAAGAAGGCAGAGGAGTCAGCGCCATCTGTCGTATAAAAAAGTAAATGGACGTGCGAAGACGACGACGACGACGACGGACCTGAAATAAAATCATCTCGGTCACCATGTGAATACGCCCTGAACTCGTACACTAATCGTATTGAATTTGGAAGCAATCGATCCAGAACCCTTGATTCCTATAGTGAATGTATCAATAACTCTTTCTCACACATAGCCGTTCATAAAATATTTGAGTCGAAACACAGGTATAAGAGATACTTCGAGTAAAGAGTCTCGGCGGGTTGTGCCCTGTATGGCGGGTTGCCTGTACTTGGCGCGAGACTAGACCGAGTCTCTTGATAATTACATCATAAAGATGACCAGTCAGAGACTCTCTGCGCTATTTTTAAAGACGAGAAAGAGCCTATTGACAAGCACACTCTCTTGGAATGTTTATGTGATTCAAGCAATATGTTCTGCGATTTAATGTTCCAGTTGTCTAAGATAAGAAAGTTCCAGGTATACCAGGATGTTGATGAAAAATGTAAATCTATTCTTGAACAGTCCAAGACGAATGATTTCCTGTTCCGGTAGCTGGTAGCCGATAGCCCTTACAGGTAACGAGCGTAGTTCTTGGCACCCGAACCCAGAGACAGGTAGCGGAAAGAGTACGTACACGCAGAAAGGAATTCGATAAAGAAGTACTCACGGCCGGCGAGATGATGTAATGTAACGTACGCGCAAATTACGGCGAATACGCTGATTACACTATTACGCTTATCTAGTCCCCTTTCGCATTTCGGGTAACACAAACAATCCAAAGGATAAAAAAATAATTCCCTAGGCACAATACTTAAAACAAAGAGGGTAAATTAATGGTCAAACGGTAAGATCACAGCACAGTTATATAATAAAGAAAACACGGAAATTCATAAGAATAACTATTCGATACGTGACCGCGTGGTCGACACTCGGATAGGCTCCGATTACTAAGGGAGTATGATATTCCCGGCAGCGTGTAATGACTTACCAACTGACTCCTATTCTCGCGAATTTCAAGAGTCCCAAGAACTCAGGTAGCCGCGGCGGGATTTATACTATCCCAGGTAGCCGTTCTTATTACTATCCATACGAGGAAATCTTACACGTGCGATCCGATCAACCAAGAGAACAAAAGGTACGTTAACACTCACGAAAATATTCGGACAAGTGTACTCACCCGAATTAATAAACCGTAAAATAAAATAAAATACCACGAACGGACGACACAAACAGCCTCTTCGCCGTGGCCGTAATCGGGGAAACCACCGCTATCAGAATTTACACTTCACTTGCGAACTAGCATAGTTAAATGAATAATCCGGCGACGAAGCTCTTTGATGGACGCTTGTTTAGGACGGAGTTAGCTAACCTCCCGCTATTAGGTAGCGTGTAACAATATCACTCACGTAGGCAGCGTGAAGAGTTTCGTACCCGGTTATAAGAAAGAGTGCTTACCAGATAATAGAGGTATCGCTTTTGTGTGGAGACTACGTAGGGAAAAACTCATTGATCTCACGGCTACTGAAAAGCGTTGCTAAGAAAAAGCCCAGTAAGCCCAAATATGATCGTATTTACAGTCTCGATCCAGTGATCGAGAAGTTACGGAAAATGACGCCATTGGAAAATCTGAGCCTCCAACAATTAACAATTAAACCAGTGGTTTTACTTGCTCTAGTCACTGCTCACCGTAAGTAGACATTGATCTGTATTAGAAGGACCAATGTAAAGAAGATTATAGACGGATACGAGATTAAAATCCCAGAGAGGATCAAGACTTCGAGGCCGGGTACCTATCAGCCTCTTTTATTAACACCTCGGTTTCCGGAAAACCAGAACCTTTGTGTAGTCTCGACATTAGAAAGATACTTAGACGTCACATCACTGTTGGCAAGAGGTTTCCACAACTTATTCGTTACTACGAGGAAATCACACAAGGTAGCATCCAAAGATACCTTGAGTAGATGGATGATCATCCTTGGTGGAATGTGGTGTTGGTTGCGAGTTTTCACCACACAGTATTAGACACGCAACAACCTCTTTGGCCTTAGCGAAGGGAGTCAATATTAGTACTATCAAAACTCTGGCAGGCTGGTCTGAAACTTCAAAAGTTTTTGATACTTTCTACAACAGACCTATTGTTAAAGACAAAAGAGAATTTGCTAAGACAATATTATCTTAAGTTAAAATATATGTTTATCAGCAAGAGTTAGGTAAACATTGATGTTGACACACGTTGAGCCTATTTATTGTTTCACCTTGTTCGATTGTTTGAATAATAAAATTATTTTTATTCTTGCTTCAAAAATCAGTCTTCAATGAAATTTTTGAAGACAGCTCTAAATATCCTACATCAGGGCTGTCCAACATGAGACCCTCAGGTCGTATGCGGCCCGCGGAGCGGGCCTCTAAATGTATAAATTACCCTCAAATAAAATTAAAATAATAATACAAACGCGTTTTTTCTTTGTATACCATACCTACTAAAACACAGATAAAGTTGCATAAACAGTATTTTATAATGCGGCCCTCCAAACCGCATTTCTTTTTAAAACGGCCCTTGGGGCACTTGCAGTTGGACAGCCCTACCCTACATAGTGATCTTGAGAACGAAGCATGAGATATAATTGAACGATTGAGCGAGCCCGCCGACCGCGAGTGAATCACAATTATGTTGATTATTTAATTCTCGAAATCACTCCCACCTACAAGTAAAAAGAACAGAAAAAGACCCGCCCGTGATATCTTCGGGGATTTACAACGCTGAACCATATGAAGCGGGACGACGGCGTCGCCAGGATTGTCAACCTTATTTTGTATTACCTGAAAGTCGTGGTGACATCTAGCGTAAGGAAACGGTACTACATAGTGATCTCTTCTAAAGAAACAATCGACATAATTATGACCGAGCTTCGCCCGCCTTTGGCGGGCTTCCTTGATCGTTTAATTTAATGGTCATTTAATAATTATTAAAACTTTAGATGATTCCTTATCGACTACTACTTGGCGGGTCCGTGCTAGGAATTTCAAAGTACTTACTTTGAACGTACTAATAGTACTCTAATACTATATGTTTGTTATTAAGCTTTTAAGCTTAAGCTTAATTGTGATTATTTTTGACAAGTTATTGTTAATATGCTCTATATAAAAAGTTGACACTGGTTTTAAGTTTGATAACTGGCATAATGAACGCAAATTTATATCAAGAAATGCACGTACCCGCCAAGTAGTACTCGATAAGGAATCGCGTGAAGTTTTAATAATTATTAAATGATCATTAAATCATAATTAAATACGGAAAGCAGTACTAATGTAAAAGAGTAGCGAAAACGTTATATGAAATTTCGAAAATACAATTAAAATGATGGACCAGTGCCAGATCATATAATAGGTAAACATGTAGTGACTTATGTACTTGGCATTAATAATACCATTTCAATACTTTTTGTTAGAGGAATTCACAACACTTCTGTACTTGAGGTAGTTTTTTAAACGTAAGTGTTTTTTTTGGGGGATCTCATTTTCTCCTATGGTAGACCTATGCCCACCACTGTATAGTGAAAACCTGTTGACGGCTAATGGATATAAAAAATTGAAAATGAAAGGAAAATTAAAACGATGTACGGAAATTAAAATTGTAGTAATTATTTCAACGTAATACACTTTTTGGAAAAATAGCATTTTGAAAACTGTTCTTTACGGGAAAATGTCTTTTTTGGGAAGCGCCTTTTCTGGGAAATAGTATTCGGGGAAGTATCTTTAGCGGAAGTGTCCAACTATGTATATCATACATACTCTTTAAATTTTATCTAAAATAAACATTTTGTAAGTCAAATAAAATTATGTTTTTATATGACAAAAATAACACCAAAATATGTAGTGGCTTACCTTGCATTATTTGGTTCAAGAGTAAATTTTGTTCAGTTTGACATTTAGTAGTTGTTAATATTTTAACCTCTAATAGTTCAAGAAGATTCTTCCACTCGGTCTCCTTGGAGTATTTATTCTAAAACAAAAAATTGATTCGTGACAGATTATAAAAAAAATATTATGTCATTTTAATGAAATTTTATGTCGTTCAAACAATTAAAATGAAGCTTATGTTACCTATAGTATCGGCTATCATTTCCGAAACAGAATAAAATAGCCAACAGTCAATAGAATTGCAGACTCAGCACGTTACCCAATGCACTGCCCATGCTGCTTAGTTGACTGCATTTGTAAAGTCCTAACCATATCTACGAGCATCAGCGAAAAATGACTATATAAGCAGTTAAAGTCATGGTACTGATGCTCAGAAAATCTTTTAGCTTCACGCGCAAAAGATCGGACTGCACCTTATCACTCATGAATGTAACCGTTGGAGTATTAGATCCGGTGTAATATTCGTAATCTGGCCTAGGTACGGATTCGTTATTACATACCCTAGGGAACAAGTTGCATCGGTTACTAGACAAAATTGAACTGCATAGACTAGTCTTTTCCAAATCAAGTAACGCGTATGCTAGAGAATTTTCTGTTTCACATAATTTTTTATCGCCTTAACCTCACCTCACATACAGTCAGGTTTTGTAATTCAATATCACGATCTCTACCCGGAATTTCTTATAACTCAAACACTGTAAACAACAATCATTTATAGATACTTACTGATTTATTTGTAACAATATATCGCAAATTTAAATTTCATCGCGTATTAAATATCTATTACCCATCCATAAGCATTTCAGGGAATATCTCTCCAGGTTGGAATAGCAAGTCGTATTTCAACACTTTAACACGTTCACGCCGGGGCAAATATTTACGTTTTTTCGCGTGGGGCGGGACTGTCTTATCTCCTTACGCTTCGTGGGGCGGGGTGACACTGTTGCGAGTTCGAACGCACTTAAGAAATAATATGCGGAACTTGCATGGTAAATGCATGGTATATCCACAAAAAATGGGGAACTAAAAAAATTCCAATTTTAAAATTTCGAGCACAAATTATCGATCATCTTTTGATCAAAGATCATCACAGAGAAATCGAAGAAGCTGAAATTGAAAAGAAAAATCCGTCAAGAAAACGTACACATTTTCTACAACCATTCAAAGGGGCTTCCAGAAACACAAGAAAACGATGTGAAGAATGTTACAAACAATTATCAAAAACACAAAGTAGATTATATGCCGCAAAAAAAGTAAAAAAGTAACGACATATTGTAAGCGTTGTAAGTGCCAGCCCGCATTATGTTTAAAATGTTTTGGAAAGTTGCATAGGTATATTGAATGTTAATGTTTATAATAGGCAATTTTTATTTATAATGTTGAGAAAAAATAAAATAAACTTATTTTTTTAACGACTTATTTTCTGAAAACTAGTGACTCACCTGTGATGCACGTTGCCCCACGGGATAGTTAAGCATGACCCACCGGTGGGTCACGCCGCCCCACGGAACAGTCAAGTGTGACCCACCGGTGGGTTACGCCGGCTTGAATGTGTTAAACGAGCAGCGAACCGACTATTGAGTGTATTCTTACCGCTCGGGATTCACGCAAATTTTATTCACGTTACCTCTGGTTATTCCTTTTCTTTTGGTTACTTCTAAATTTTTGTTATCAAATTTAAAGCCCTCGCTAGCCACTACGGCCTACGTAACACTTATAAAGAAACATATTTCATTTTTTAAGGACAATTAGATTTTATCAGTCCTTTTTTTTAGTATCATTCCAAAGTAGCTAACCTCTTTACAGACAGATTGAACTCGTTTATTTAGACCTTCTGGTCTTGAGATAGTTTTTCAGTATAATTGTTATGTAATACGACGTAATTGTCAGCAAAACGCAATACTACAGAACGATTGAGATAAGAGTGTAGGCGATCTAAGCAAAAGGAAGGTGTTAGGCGCCAGATACTCTCGAAAGAGTACTATGAACTCATGGCTCGTTACCAATTCCGCAGGAAACAGCGAAAAGATTAGCCATTTCAGGGTCACCATTTGCCACCAGGCGAACTTAAAACTAAGAATGCCACCAGGCGAATTACTACAAAGGGCCACACGGCCAATCGAAACAGACAGGGGCCACACGCCCAAGAAAGAACAGTAAGACATAAAATTAAATTTAAAGGATACCCGGAAGTCAGAAAAATCCTACAAAATCAGACCACCATACGTTAAATGGTACGCTGCTTCAGAAGCTAGCTCGTTGGAAGCATCGTGGTGTTCAACAGGTAAAGGAGAGGGAAGTAAGCCAAGGACTTATGGGTAAAGTAATGAGAAGCGCTACAATAAAATAGCCAAAAGTAATGAGTGAACGTACCAGAGCTGTATTAAATAATAATCCAAACGGCAGATAGGCTCAATAGAAAATTTACAAAACCAATAGACAGGACATTAATACAGGTGCGAGCGAAAGCCAAGCGTGGGTAAGAAAAGTCTTAAAACTACTTTACAAGAATCGTCATAAAAAACAGAAGCTATACAATGCAAAAGAAAATCAAATAATATAGGAGATTATAGATGGGTCCTTTTTACTAGTAAATTGCTCCAGCGAAAGAAGTTGAACGTTGGCGTTCACAAGAATAAGACGTGGGTTCGATACTTCCTATAAACAATATCCCAAAAAAAACACTTACGTGTAAAAAACTACACCAAGTACAGGAGTGCTGTGTATTCCTCTAAGAAAATATATTGATATCAGATTATTGAGGCCAAGTATTTCCTATAACGTTTTCACTACTCTTTTACATTACTACTGCTTCCCGTAGCTGATTATGATTTAATGGTTATTTAATAATTAATAAAACTTTAGGTGATTCCTTATCGAGTACTACTTGGCCGTCCGTGCATTTCTTGACATAAATTTGCGTTTATTATCCCAGTCATCAAACTCAAAACCAATGTCAACTTTCTATATAAAGCTTATTAACAATAACTCATAAAAAATAATCACGGTAAAAGCTTAATAACAAACATATAGTTTTAGGATACTATTAGTACGTTCAAAGTAAGTACTTTGGAATTCCTGGCACGGACCCGCCAAGTAGTAACACAGGTACAAGAGATGCTTCGAGTAAAGAGTCTCGGCGGGCCGTGTCCTGTACGGCGGGTTGCCTGTACTTGGCGCGAGACTCGACTGAGTCTCTTGATCAACGGAAATGATCCGGTCGGAAAACCTAACAAAGTCAGAATAATCTAACGAAAGTCGGAACTCGAGGAACGATAGAAGAACGGGAGAGGAATGAATATGTAATTCCAATTTTGGCACGCATGAAATTATAACGGCGACCGACATCGTTAACAGGAAAGTGTTAGTCGAACAAAATCATAAGTTATACGTAAACCCAGATGGAATGGTAATAAGTAAGGGTTCGTTAACGAAAGCATAAAATTGGAATTTATAAAAAATCAATGTACACGACGCGAATACAGAAAAGTTAGCACACCAAATAGTAAAATCACAATAAATTATTACATACAATGGTATACAGTAACGTCCAATTGAAGTGCAACACATGATTTTTTTACATTTCTGTGAAAGTATGACAGATTTCGAAAAACCAAAGACATATTTTGCAGGAAATTTTCTTCCCGTTCGAATGGTAAAGGTTTTATCCCGATCGGATACAAAATGGCCCAATGACAGGGGTTGGAGTGAAAAAGTGCATTTTGGCACTTTTTGAAAAGTTCGAGAACTAGTAGTTTCGGAAGGAAATTCATATTTCTAATTATGGCACGAGAGAGAGCATCCTTCGGCATTAAAAAAACACCCCCATCGAACCCCTGTAGGATCACTCTAGGGGGGTTACACCCCCTTGAAATGAAAACATTTAAATAGCCATAACTTCCGAACGCGCCGGCCAATCTGGTCCAGTGTCTGCGTGATATCATCTTTAATGATACTGCAGATTCTCACAAGATTATTGTTCTTGGAGATGATCCCGTGACGGAGATCTTGAGATTTCGCAAGCGTACTCGAAGCATCCCCGCCATTTTTCATTAGGAATGCGACGAAATAGAAGTTTCACATTTATCCACGTTGTAGCTGAGATTGCAACTATTAAAACGCGCTTTTAAACATCCAAAAATGAGTTTGCTAAGGGGTTAAATTATTTGTTTAAAAAAGCGCCGAAATTTTGCGAGTTTCGCTCGAGGCGCTCGGGGGACAATTGCTTGGCGCGTGTGGTAGGCTAGTAGTCCCCCGAACACCTCGAGCGAAACTCGCAAAATTTCGGCGTTTTTTCAAACGAATAATTTAACCCCTTAGGAAACTCATTTTTGGATGTTTAAAAGCGCGTTTTAATCGTTTAAATCTCAGCTACAACGTGGATAAATGTGAAACTTCTATTTCGTCGCATTGCTAATGAAAAATGGCGGGGATGCTTCGAGTACGCTTGCGAAATCTCGAGATCTCCGTCACGGTATAATCTCCAAGAACAATAATTCTGTGAGAATCTGCAGTATCATTAAAGATGATATCACGCAGAAACTGGACCAGATTGGCCGGCGCGTTCGGAAGTTATGGCTATTTAAGTGTTTTCACTTCAAGGGGGTGTAACTCCCCCTAGAGTGTTCCCACAGGGGTTCGATGGGGGTGTTTTTTTAATGTAGAAGGATGCTCTCTCTCGTGCCATAATTAGAAATATGAATTTCTTTTCGGAACTACTAGTTCTCGAACTTTTCAAAAAGTCCCAAAATGCACTTTTTCACTCCAACCCCTGTCATTTGGCCATTTTGTATCCGATCGGGATAAAACCTTTCCCATTCGAACGGGAAAGAAATTTCCTAAAAAATTTGGCTTTGATTTTTCGAAATTTGTCATACTTTCACAGAAATGTATAAAAATTCAAGTGTTGCACTTGAATTGGACGTTACTGTGTAAGATATAATAATCCGGCAAATAAAATAATATAACGGATATTTAATTATCGTTACAATTTCAAGACGTTATTTGAACGAATAATATAATCTCGAAAGCTGGTAGAAGCCACAGCGTCGAAGAACGTCAACAAGGCAGATCGGTTCGAAGGGCGGCTAAAACGCGACATGCCAGATTGACGTTCGTGAGACGCAAAATCCCGAAAGATCCAAAGCTAATATAATAATTCTGAGCAACGATAATCAAGTACGGCATATAAGAAATGATTCACATAGAAATAAAAAATCTCGTATATAAAAGACTAGCAAAAATCGATACAAAGTGTGAGTCGCACTTAACGAAACTTAAAGAAAGCCCAAAACCTATTAGGATATAAGATACATTTATATTTGAGAAAAAGTAGACGCGCAGCACCATCACACGTGGATGAAGGGAAGCGAAGTGTATGAGAGTGGGGAAAGAAAACATATATAGAGTTGTTCGCTGCACTTATAGAGAGTTTTCGAGAAAAGAGCTGTCGAGGAGTAAATAAAAAGAGTTGATACAGTCATTAACAATAAAGTTATAAGCCCGTATTCAGAACTCGCTATTAGTGCTAATAGCGCGCTTTTAAATTATTTGTTAGTGAGTTTAAAGGTGACTATATTCAAAACCGCTTTTATGGTCATTCTTAAGGTCACTAACAGCTAATAGCGCGCTATTAGCGAAGAAGCCTATTGAGAACCGCTTTTAAGCATTTAACAGCGCGCTATTAGGCGCCATCTTGGGACTAACAGCGAGCTATTCGAAGGTGTGGGCAGAAGCATGCTTAAAGTGACAGGTCGCTCAAATATGGCGGACCAGATGGAGGCTATTGCCGAGATAGATGAAGTCCGCGAAGTTAATGAAATGAGAGTAAGAAAGCCGCAAGTTTTTCGAGAGAGACGTAATCCGTTTCGTACGTGACGTCATCCTTAGGCATTTCGACCGTGTTCAATGCTCAGAGGCTATCAGATTTGTGGGGATCTTCATCCTCCACAAAATTTTCCAGACAAATTTTATTGATTTTGAAATCGAACCCAAAAGGTTTTGAGAGACCAGAACCTCCACCTGTACCACTCGCACGCTTGCGATAGCAAGAAATAGTCTTCTTTACTGTGAGTTTCCACCGATACTATGCATCTCTTATATCTTGCCATTCCCTCTTAATTCCAGTCGCTGCCATTTTCTCTGTTAGTTTCATTCATTTGTCTCTTCTACCCTTTTGCAATCAAGCATTATTTGCTTTATTCTCTAGTATATCACGATTGTCTCTTACAAATTGTATGACTAATGCTTTTTCTTCGAGGGTGAAATTCTCCTTTCGCTCCATGATGATCTACAACCATTTATTTTTTTTTTCATTTTCATGTCATGAATGTCTTATAATAGTTTTAACGTATTAATTGAATATTAATAGCTTGGCTTCAAGAAAGGGAAATCTTAAATTTAGAATTTCAAATATGGCTGCAGTTTTCACCAAATATGAAGTTCGCGCTTTCCGAATGACACCGAATACTCCCGGACA